ATCCAATCAAGTGACCATTATCAGGTAACCTGACAGACAGGAGATAAACGATGCACTCAGATTTCTGTTGTAGACCACCTTTTCTGTGATGTAGGTATGATGTTTGTGGGGGGTGGTCTTGGGTTACACCCCTTCTGTGAAGTATGTATGATGTATGGAGGGGTGGTCTTGAGCTCCAGGGAAGGCCATTTAAAATGTCTATATAAGGGCGGGCACACCTTTGTTCTGGGTCCTCCTCCTTTCCTGCGTGTGAGGGGAGCACCCTGTTGCAACCATTCAATAAAGATCAGGCTTACGAGCTGCTTTGCTTCTCAATATTCTCTGGTTGGCCTCTGTTATTTTCTCTGACCGATGGAGAACCTACAAAGGACTCTATAAGGGCTCTTGTGTTCCCCATAAGGGAATAAGGGCAGATTTTTGTTTATTACAGGGGCAAGACTCACTCGCCTCCTACTCAAAAGCAAGGCATATTGAGTGCAAATAATTCCATGGCAGAAGAGGAGACTGAGAGAGCACTGGAAACTAACAGCAGATAGATAACAGAGGCAGGGAGAAATGAGGAAAACACGGCGTGGGGAGGTGGAGAGCAGAAGCCGGGGAAATCCAGGACAAAGGCAAGAATTGTGATACAATGAACATATATTAATGGGGAACCGTCATGTTAAGGTATTAAAAATCATTTTTGCACTACTCGCTGTTAAGAGAAAAGTGGTTTTTTGTTCCAGGACATCTGAAATGTGAGCAGAACAGTGGGAATGACATGTGGTCCCTTGTCCTCCCCCCAAAAACCAGGCTAAAAACTGTTTTTTGATGATGTGTGGCTGAGCCTTGAGTGGAAAATGTGGACCTTTGATACATCCAGAGATCAACCAGCTGTGCCGGCATTTGCTTGTGTGTCTGTCTAGTTATGTATGACAATCGAACAAATCTCTTTCCTCTTTAATTTGGAGGCTGGCTACATGATGTTCAAAAATAGACACTGAAAGGCTTTTTTTTTGGTCCTTGCTCAAGGACCTTAGCGTACACTGTGATCTACGCTTTCAAAAAGAGTCATGCCGTTTCCTAAACTCTGATAATGCTCTGTGAGTAATCTATCAATAGGCACCACATGGAGAGGAACATATAGTTTATGCACAGCTTCTATTAACCACAGTGGCAAAAGTATTATGCATTTTTGCTAAAGTATGCTAAGCCCTCCTTTGTTCCTTCCACTCGGGAGCCTTGCAGTACAATCCTGCGCATGTCTACTTAGAAGCGCACTTCATGGGAGTAAGTCTCACTGATATCAGCTGAGTTGCCATCTCCTTGGCCCCGAGCTATTTAGCAAGCTTCTCCTCTGTGGCTTACGTTTACCGAAATCTCGAAATGAATGTTCCACAGTACAAAACAAACAGGAACTTCATCATGTCCCAATCATCTTTTCGAATGATGTTTCCTCTTTTGTGATGATAAGTAGAGTCGGTGTTTCTTAAACAGCGGGCCTTCGGACACTGTGTGCCTTCTCTTTGCCTGACTCACGAGCCATACCATAGATTTGGGTGGTGAGTAAAGGGAAGTTTTAGGTAGGGAAGGTCTACTTACTCTCTGAGGGGAAAAGGCAGAGGAACTATTGAAGGAAATTTGAAAATGAGATAAAATCTTTATTTATTTATTATTTATTGAATTCATATATCACCCTATACCCAGAGGTCTCAGGTCACAGAACATAATCAAAATATAAAACCACAATATATATATAATCAAAATAAAAACAACTACTCAATAACAACACCCCCCCAAAAAACAACATTTTTAAAAGGGCATAGGATGTCAATCAAGTCAACCAAAGGCCTGGCTAAAAAGGAATGTTTTTGCCTGGCGCCTAAAGGTGTCTAATGAAGGCGCCAGGCGAACTTCCCTGGGGAGAGCATTCCACAGTCGGGGAGCCACTGCAGAGAAGGCCCTGTTGTCGTGTTGCTACCCTCCAGACCTCTCAAAGAGGAGGCACACGAAAGAGGGCCTCAGAAGATGGTATCAAATAATAATTTTTATTATTATTAATTATTAAGTTCATAAAATAGGAATAGAAAGGAAAGGAATAAGAGAGGAAGGTTGTTACAGGAGGCAGAAATGAATGTAAAGGGACCAGGAAGGAGGGATGGAAGAAACTGGTGCGGCAGAGTGAAGGAAAGAAGATACAAACTGAGTGTGAAAGGAGAATGGGAGAAGAAATTACAGGAGATGGGTAAAAATACTTTGAGAAGCATGTGAGCGTTCTCCACTTAGAGCCTCTGGACCAGCAAATGCTGCCTAAATAGAGAAGTTAAATACATGGGTAGCGAACATAGTGCCCTCAACTCCAGATATTGTTGGACTACAAGTCCCATAATCTCTGAAAATTGGCCATACTGGCTCGGACTGATGGGAGTTGCAGAACCTCTTGTTGGCTACCCATGCAATACCCCCAGAACCGATGTCTGTACTTGGCTTGAGGAAAAACTGAGCTTTGGAACTCTTTGCCACAAGGACAACACTATGGCAAAGAATTTTAGCCATTTCCGTAGATGTATTAGAACTGGATATGGAACAACTGATTGGTTCAAAATTGGGAAAGAAGTACGACAAGGCTGTATATTGTCTCCCTGCTTATTTAACTTATATGCAGAATTCATCATGCGAAAGGCTGGGCTGGATGAATCCCTAGCCGGAATTAAGATTGCCGGAAGAAATATCAACAACCTCAAGATATGCAGATGACACAACCTTGATGGCAGAAAATGAGGAGGAATTAAAGAACCTTTTAATGAGGGTGAAAGAGGAGAGCGCAAAATATGGTCTGAAGCTCAACATCAAAAACCCCGAAGATCATGGCCACTAGTCCCATCACCTCCTGGCAAATAGAAGGGGAAGAAATGGAGGCAGTGAGAGATTTTACTTTCTTGGGCTCCATGATCACTGCAGATGGTGACAGCAGCCACGAAATTAAAAGACGCCTGCTTCTTGGGAGAAAAGCAATGACAAACCTAGACAGCATCTTAAAAAGCAGAGACATCACCTTGCCAACAAAGGTCTGTATAGTAAAAGCTATGGTTTTCCCAATAGTGATGTATGGAAGTGAGAGCTGGAACATAAAGAAGGCTGATCGACAAAGAATTGATGCTTTTGAATTATGGTGCTGGAGGAGACTCTTGAGAGTCCCATGGACGGCAAGAAGATCAAACCTCTCCATTCTTAAGGAAATCAGCCCTGAGTGCTCACTTGGAAGGACAGATTGTGAAGCTGAAGCTCCAATACTTTGGCCACCTCATGAGAAGAGAAGACTCCCTGGAAAAGACCCTGATGTTGGGAAAGATGGAGGGCACAAGGAGAAGGGGACGACAGAGGATAAGATGGTTAGACACTGTTCTCGAAGCTACCAGCGTGAGTTTGACCAAACTGTGGGAGGCAGTGGAAGACAGGAGTGCCTGACGTGCTCTGCTCCATGGGGTCACGAAAAGTCAGACACAACTAAACGACTAAACAACAACAAATTAGATATCAAGAGAAAGTGGTGTCAGTAATTGCCCGCTGATAATGGCAGACTCTGCCTCCCTCTGCCACTATTTTGTGATGGGTTCTGCCCCTACGGCACCATTTTGTGGCTGGTGGGGCTCAGTACCGTATTTTTCGCTCTATAACACGCACCCGACCATAACACGCACATAGTTTTTAGAGGAGGAAAACAAGAAAAAAAATATTCTAATCGAAACAGTGGATGTATGATTTTTGTGGTTCATGCTGTGGCCACAGACATGTGATCTGACAGTGAGTTTGGGGTAGCCCAACGCAAAAATCCCGAGGATCCATGTGGATCCATGCTTTGTAACCACGTTTTTGCACCACTGCGGCCCCAGGCAACAGTGGGTGCGTGATTTTTTTGGTGCAAGCTGTAGCCATGGACATGCTATGTGATCTGATGGTGAATTTGGGGTGACCCAGTGCAAAAATCCTGAGGATCCATGTGGATCCGTGCTTTGTAACCAGGCTCTCTGTCCCTCTCTTCTCTCCACTCAGCGGCTCTTCTCCCGCTTTGCTGTTTCAAAGCGAGCAAAGCGAGCCACGGAGGAGGGAAGGAAGGGGAACCATGGATCCTCTGCTCACGACTGCAGCAGATCCCCCTGCCACCCGTAGGCATTCGCTCCATAACACGCACAGACATTTCCCCTTACTTTCTAGGAGGAAAAAAGTGAGTGTTATGGACCAAAAAATACGGTAATTTCCAGCCATTTGAAGTCAACCCTGGGGAGTAGAAGGTTTGAGAACCCATGAATTAGGCAACACTTGGGCTACTGTTGGGTTCACTACAATTAGGAATCAAAAAATTCCTGCGTTGCTGCTATATTGATCAATATTGATTTTGGAATACAGCAATTCTCTCCTCTCCTTTTCCTTTGTGTGCGTCCCTACATCTCGGTGCCCTTCAAATATTGTAGGAGTACAGCTCCCATAATCCCTGACCACCGGCCATGCCAACTGCAGCTATTAGGAGTCGTAGTACAATAAATATCTAAGGGTCACCACGTTGACTATCTGCACTATATGAAGCTCTCATAGTCAACTGGCAATAAGTCACGCTGTGGGTTTAACCACAGAGCCTAGGACTTGCTGATCAGAAGGTCGGCGGTTCGAATCCCCATGACTGGGTGAGTTCCCGTTGCTCGGTCCCTGCTCCTGCCAACCTAGCAGTTCGAAAGCACGTCCAAGTGCAAGTAGATAAATAGGTGGGAAAGTAAACGGCATTTCCGTGCACTGCTCTGGTTCGCCAGAAGTGGCTTAGTCATGCTGGCCACATGACCCAGAAGCTGTATACCGGCTCCCTTGGCCAATAAAGCGAGATGAGCGCCGCAACCCCAGAGTTGGTCATGACTGGACCTAATGGTCAGGGGTCCCTTTACCTTTACATGACATCATGAAGCCAGTCAGATTTTGGCAGGAGTGATGGCACTGAAGGCAAACTCATGGCTTGTCTGCATTTGGACATTGTCCGCATGAGCTCAGTTTGTAAAGCATTGAGACTCTTAATCTCAGGGTTCTGGGTTCGAGTCCCACATGGGGCAAAAGATACCTGCGTTGCAGGGGGTTGGACTAAATGACCCGGGTGGGTTCCTTCCAACTGTGATTCTGATTCAATCATAGTAGTCCACACCCAAACGTATTCGGATTGGTAGTTGAGCAGCAGCTTCAGTCTCTCTTTCCTGTTCACGCCAGGAGGCGTTGCCTTTTTGTATCTGCCATCTAATTTATTGATTCTTTTATGCCACTTAAGTACTGACAGGGCATGCGTACTTTTTCTTCTTTTTAATTGCCCTGCCCAAGAAGTGTGCAAAAAGCACAAAGTCATGCAATCGTGAGTGAGGAAAAAAGCACGAAAGTCATGCAATCGTGAGTGACGGCCAGTGTTAAAAGTTTCGTTGCATTACTGCAATGTTTTCTTTCCGGCCGCGCTTGCAAGACTGAAGCAGGATCTCTCCATTCATACCGGAGCAAATTACGAGACCCCCTGAGCCGCTCCTTCCTCTGTGTTTAAAAAGAAGCAGCCTCTGCAGCTCCTCTCTCACAGCAGAGCCAGAGCCCCACCTTTCTCCGTCCCAAAACGCGGTGGGATAGAATCCCAGAACTGTTGAGTCGCAAGGGGGGCCTCCCAGGGTCATCTAGTCCAACCGCCCGCCTGCAATGCACGGAGGTGTCAAATGCGTTTTGGCGTGTTATAGGAATTCTTAGGTCTCAAATATCGAATAAATGTTGATGATTGCACAAGGTAAGCACACATACATAAGTATAAAAATTACACGTCTAAAATAGTACGGGAGAGCAATCCATCCAAAAGCCATCTTGGCTCCCCTAAAGACTCTCAATATTTCCTCTGCCTCCTTAATTCCCCTTGCCTGAGAACAAGCAGGCAGATCGCAATCGGGACATTTCTGAATTGATTCCTCTTCTTATGAACCTCCCTTGTATTAATTGTCATCGTTTGCCCAGATAATTATAACAATAGTTTATTATTTATACCTCGCCCAATGCTCTGCATTGAGGGATGTCCGACGGGCATCCCGGTTGTCTTATCAAATGCCAATGTTTTGCGCAAACTGTGTCTGGAACTATGTGAAGCTTGCTAAATCCTCAGGAACAATATCCCTTGGCTTTATGCCTGATGTAATTTCTATTTGTAGAGGGGATGTCCTTCTTCTCCCATGCCAAAATGCAAACCCTTAAAAGAGATGTTTCTTTTTGGTTCTGGGTCTCTCTTGCCCCCTTGCCAGGAGGGGAAGGGAGCTCTGTTGCAACAGAAAAAATAAAGATCTGCCTTGCTTTCGCTGCCTCCTGCCTCCATCTCTGACCCATGGGGGACTCAGAGTCCCATTGGGCAGCAAAAGCCAACCTCCCCTACTTTTCTAGATCAGGCGCATAGGGCGAAACCAGGAAGAGAAACGCTCGCGCGCTCTCACGCCCACCCTGGGCGCAAAGCAAGGCGGATATCCCCACCCCACCCAAAGGGGGCGGGGAGGGAAGAAGGACCGGGGAAAGAAGGGTTAACTCGCTGACGTCACATGGTGCGTTCGCAACTCCTCCCCCACGCGCTTGAATTGGGGAGGTTTGAAAATCACCCCATTGGAAGCTCCTCCCCCGCGCCGCTTGAATGGGGGAGCCGCGCGGAGAGGATGCTACAAATCTGGTTCAGCAGGGCAAGTGCGCGCACGTGCGGAGAAGCGGCGCTTAGGGACCCATCGCCGGGCAGCCTCCCCGTTTGCGCGCCGCGGGTCTCCCTGCTTTACTCTCCCGGTGGGATCGAGGACAAGGGACGAGCAAATTAAGTAGCAGCAAGCAGCAGCCCGAGGGAGCCACGATGAGTCCCGGTGGATTGCAAACGCCTTTGCTAGCCTTGGCGGTCGTGCTCTGCGCCCAAGTTTCTGGAAACGGTAAGCACCCTAATCCCGATCTCAATATATGTGTATATATGGGACCTTGCGGAACGGGAGGGCTGGACGTTGCTCTTTAAAAGATCAGGTAGCAAAAGGCTTCCCTTCCCAGTTAAGGGTGGATGGGTTGCCTGGCGGGGACGGGGGCCAGGGAAATGTATATATGTATTTATCTACTTTATTGCATTCGCATCCCCACTTTTCCTCCCAAGAAGCTTACGGTGGCGCGCATCCTGCCGCTCCCCATTTTATCCTCGCAACAACCTTGCGAGGTAGGCCGGCCCTCCGGTGGCTCAGCTTGCTTCTTCCAAGGTGTGGGTGGGGGTGTGTGCCTTTTTGTGACTCCGGTCCCCTCAGCCCTCCCTTGGGTCCGCTTCTTTTAGATGGGGGTGTTCTAAACAAGGGCATCTCCAAGTAACAACCCTCCCCAGATATCGGGCTCCTAAATAGTGTCGACCGGAAGCTGAATTCTTGGGCTACAAATAGTTTTCTTTGCCCCCCCCCCTTGTTCTGCCCCCCCCCCCCCAGCATCCTCTGGTTTTGATTCCGCAGGTATGAACTTTGGTGAGCTTAGGAGGGGCTGCTGGTGCCCGACCCCTTCCTCCCCCCCCACCTGAGCCGTGATCTCTCTTCCATACCTATTTCAGGGCAGGGCCCACTGGAAGGACTGGGTCTGCTGCTGGTTGCCCCGCCCTGAGCTTATAAGGGCGGCTCCTTCCCTGCCATCACACTGCCATCCATCCTTCAGGAGCAAGACCTCCCAAGCCTAAGCATCCCTTTAATGGCTTCAGGGTGGGGGCCTTAGCCTGGGATGTGTGTGCCACTATATTTTGCATTTTGCTACTGTAAATTTAATAAATAACAAGGATAATATTGGGTGAAAGAGATTCCCTCCCCAGGGATGATTTATTACCTGGCAGCCTTTACTGTTCTGTTAATGAGCAACCTTCCCTGGGGTAGGATGAGGTTCTTAAATGATTTCTCGATAGGATCCCACAGGATTATTTTGCTCCTCCTTTCATTATTTCCTTTTCTTTTGCTCATTTAAAGACGCAGATCTTCCCTGTGAGGAAGCACATCTTTTTTCCCCTTGTCCCCCCCCAAAGGAGGGGTCAGGCATGCACATGGAAAGAAGTAGTTAAAACTTGATTTTGAGAAGAAGCGAAGACACATGCATGGAACTCTCTGCTTTAGGGTTGCTAGCCTAGGCTCCAAATGGGACCCTTTTATCAGGAGGGGATTGTGTGTAAAACAATATTGGGGGGGGGGAGTGGCGAGGCGGGGAAAGCAAGAATGTTTAGAAATGCTGTGGAGTGTCTTGTGTCTTTTTGAAAATGGGCAGGAGGTCTGGGAAACGGATGGCAGAGAGGAATGTCACCTCCTGGCATGTTTGCATCTTTTAATCATGGCTTTGCTTTGTGGTGGGGGGGGGAGGACTCTCACTGGACATTTAAGGGGGAAGACCTGGGGAAAGGAATGACTGCAAGCCCTTTTGTTTTTAAAGGGGTATGGATTTCAGGACATGCAATGGTGTCATTTGCCTCTTTGGAAGTAGCAACTACTTGGGTGGAAGAAGGGATAGGCAGGGGAGGAGTGTCAGTGTTGGGTGGGGTTTATCGGAAGGTGCATGTTAGAAAGGGAGGCACCTCTGCTCTTCAGCGGCACAAAGTCCAGCCAACCCGCTACCCGGCCCTCGCCCATTCGTTCCCCTTCCCCACACGCTCTGCTTCCCCATTGGCTTGCGGGCCAAACGGGCCATTTGTCGGCTTCTTTGCAATCCGCCAATGGGTGTCGGAGTAAGAAACACCCTCTCGGCTCTGCTTGGGAAGGCACCTCTGGCAAACGTGGGCTAAACTTCCTTCAATGTGAAGGATTCTCTGACTGTTTTGTTTGTTTGGACCCTTCAGCCTATCGGCCTCTGCTAATTTCACCTCTGCCAGCCTGAACTAACCCTGTATGCTGGTGTCTCGATGTGACAGCGAAGGAAATGTTTGTTTTCTTTTGTGTCAAAGAGAGCGCACGATGTGTGGCCTCCTGGGCTCATAAGGCGTGTTCACACATTACATTCAACAAGTGTACAATCCGTCTTCCTATGTACACAGTTAGCTGAGTGGTACGCTTGTAGCTGTACAAACCAACAAATGCAGACATTTGCATGTGTAGAGACAGCCTCTCCATCTGTGAAGAAGCCTATGATGTATTGCCAGTTCTTGATTGCAACTTAAATTTAAGTTTAACTGGTTATACAAGACGCCGAACCGATGTAGAAATGAATGGCATCACTCCCATTAGGAGTGACCTAGATCCTTGCTGTTATTCCAAAAGCTTAACACCGTGCAAAGTTTTGATAGTTGCATGTCCGTCTTTTAATGTGAAAGGCAGCGTATCTCCTGCCATGCAGCTGTTAATTATTGAGGGACGGTGTTTCTGCCCCCTTGGGAGCAAAGTTCTGAAGGACGGTAGCACCAGGTTTGGCTGAGTCCTGGGTATTTGCTTTAAAAACTTTGCTGTGAACTTCAGTCATGTTTACAAAAGGAGGTTGTTGGACATTGTAGTGAAGCTCCACTTTGAAACCCCTTTTCGCCATTCTGGTAATATTAAGGTGCGACTCCCAGAGCATGGCTTCCTCTTTACGAACAATAGGAGTTCTGACGAAATCGTTCTCTTTAAGTCCTCTCCAGTCTGTTGCCTCCCAGGTGTTTTTGCACTAACAGGTTCCCTTTTCCCACCTTCATCCTGAGCAGCAATCAATGTTTGCAAGTTGCTCCTGGTCAACCTTCTCTCAACCCTCCGAGGAATGTTGCTAGCCCTAAAATCAAAGGAGGAAATGGGTAATTGTGAAGAAGAAGCAGGAATGCCGATCCTTCTGCCCTGCCCAAACCACGTTGTGATGCAGAGACCATCGTAAATGGTGTGGCCTTCCTGTTTGCAACATCCTACCCCGCTGCTTGCATGTTATGTGTGCTAGGTAGAGAGGTTGGTTTGACCTCTTATGATGCATACTCCAACCATTTGTTGTCAAGAGCGATACTTCGTAGTTAGCAGCTTGTACAGTCGTACTTTGGTTGTCGAACGCCTTGGTACTCATACGTTTTGGCTCCTGAACGCTGCAAACCTGGAAGTGAGTGTTCCAGTTTGCA